ACAAAGAGGCCTGGATCTCCCAGCAGCGACTGGTGCTCCTAGGCCTTTAAATTGCTGCCAGAGTGCCATAGGCTGTTGGCCCTGCTAATGCTATGCACACACATGCAAACTCCATGAAACTATTCTGCACTCTACCTGTGTTAAAGAGGGTTTGCTGGTTATAAAGCATTAGCAACATTTTCTGTTGTCTTTGATGTTTGTAAGGTCCTATTCTGCTGTGTGTCATGTCAACTATTATCAATGAATTAAATTAATGAATGCAGAGAACAACAATGAATGCTGAAATGTTCAGTTTTGGATCTTTGCCAAATAAAACAGTCCAATATTTCATGTTGAAACAATTGTGTGTTTCACATAGTGTATGAAATTATGTATAATAATCTAATCTACATTTTTAAAAATTAGAATAAAAATGGGCCAAATATCACTGCAGAATTTTCCTTTGCAGAGAATTTTGAATATTTTAGTTTTCATTCCTAATTTTAATGATAGCAAATTTCGAAATCTTTCTATTCTCTGGAAAATAAAACTTCTGCCGTCACGCAGCTCAACTCACGGTGACGTGTTTTAGTCAAACATGGTAAATTTGGGTCTTGATAAACAAGAACCAGGGGAGCTGACTGCCTTGCCAGACCCCTGGGCAAGGTGAGAGGGGCCCCAGAAGGGGCAGGGCCTCTGATGGAAGAGGTTGGGGCTGAGGTAGATCACCATGTGCTCCAGGTGGCTTTGAGGCTGGGGTGGGGGGAGAGGGGGGACACTGAGGGCTGAGTGTTCTAGAGACAATTTAAAGGTTGTGGGGCTCTGGGAGCCACCGATCCCGTAGCAGGAGATGGGAGCCCCAGGCACTTTTGAATTGCCAGGCCCCGAAGCAATTGCCCCCTTTGCCCCCTTGTTGGTGGGCCTGACACAAACCTCACAATTAGGTCCAACCCAACTGGACTCTTACAATTTTGCTCCTGATTCTAAGTGCACTCTGATCTTTTTGAATGATTTTGCATGTAATAGTGCTGGCTGGAGACTTTACTTTCAGCTCTTACCTGGTTCCTTTTTTTCCCAAATAAAATACTTGCTAAAGTTACAGTAGTTTCCAATGATAAAACTCTGGGGTTGGTGTGCACCTTGAGGCAATGTAAATAGATGCAACTCCAGAGCAGATATGGACTGACAATTTCTCTATTTGGACACTGGGGCTAGGTTAGATAATTTGAATATATCACTGACCCAATGACCATCCTAAAGGAAATCTGAAGTTAGAGATGGAAAAGAGGCACTAAAACCATTCTCCATGACATGCTCTGCCTTCACGGAAACAGTGTCATTGATTTGGGGAACAGCACTGAGCAATGCTGTGACAGAATGCAGAGAAGCACTGCATTATGTTTGCTCAGGATGGAACTCGAAGCAATTCTGTGTTAATCACTGCACCACTGACACAGAATATTGTTTTAAGTAGATATGGAAGGATTGAGCACTTGAAAGCAAAGTGGGGGAAGTTTGGAGGATTAAATACTCCTTTGTTAAAATAGCTATTTAGTTGTGCTGATACTAGGCATTCTGATTTAACAATCTGGTTGTTAAGGAGACACAGGAGAATGGTCTTTAATGGGATACTTTAACTCAACGCTGTTTGGAAGGGCGCTATCTGGGTACTTCTTCCATGAAGGATACCAAAATGCACTGTCTCCTCTACAGCTGGGTGCCATATTAGCATCCAGTCAGCACCAGGATGTTGTAAGTGTGTGCCTTCTCCTTATCCCTTATTTCCCCCAATGACAGACATGACAGTGAGCCTGCGTGGCAAGAGTCCTGAGGTCTTTCCCAAACTGTCCTCAAGGAGGGAGGTCTGCATTTCTCTCATTAAACACATGAGTCTAGTTGAGATACACAGTGCCCACGCATTTGTGCAAGGTCAGTTTACCAGTAGGAGTGGGTCAATTGAAGTTTTTAAACTTGTTAGGTAAACAAATCAAAAGATTTGATTTATATTTTTAAAAATTCCTTACCTTTTAATTTAAATCCCTTCTCTACTCCGAGTTTTTCCAGCACTTTGGTCCATGGTCCTTTTGAAATGAATCTGCCTTTGGATGCCATCACCACAATAGAGCTGAAGAGCACAAAGCCAAATAAACTAATGAACAATTGTTAAGCATTTGTCACTTGTCTGATTTAAACTCTGGTGTCTGCCATCAGGCCTGCAAACTGTGTCAATGTTCTCCAATGACGAAGTCACGTATTTCCTTTTCCATATATGCAAAATCCATTAGAGAGCATATTCAATTGGCTCATTTTACACTAAGTTTCTAGAACAGTTTACATTTTGGAAATCAGCATTTCCACCACATTCCATTCAGTGCACAGAATGTGCTCTATCTGGGATGCACTAAGCAATTCTCGTTTAACTCTATGTTTACAGATTAAATCTCAAATAAATTTACCTCTCCAGAACTCTGTGCTTAGAGTCTAATATTTTTCCCTTCTTTTTGAATGCAGATTTGATGCAGAAATGCATCAGTGTCCTTATAAACAGTACATGTCTTCCAGAAGGTGCGGTGTGCTTTGCAAACTCAAACTGAAGTGCAAAGGATGTATGGTACAGGGATCAGATCACTTTACCTATCTACAGTGACCTGGGGCAGAGGGGTTTTAAAATTTAGCAGCTGTTTAAGCATCACTATAATACAAATTAGGGCAGAAGGTGAAGAAAAATCCCCTGTCAAACTGAACCTGGAAGGGCATTATGTGGACAGAACCATCTAATTTGAAATATTGGCAAATTAATGAGATTAGCAACCCTATTCTTCTACAAGGTGCCAAGACTTCTCTAGTAACTGCACCAAGACATCCTGGTGCTGTTGAAGAAAATGGGAATTTTACCATTGACTTCAAAGATGGGGCTCTGGTCCTTGAAGGCAAGTGTGTGCCTCTGCATTAAAGAAGTATTGCAAAGTGATTGATAAAATGTTTGACTAGTTTAATTTATTTTACTCTGTTTTACACACTCTCCATTTAAGGTGTTCCCAATGATGTCAATGGCATTTCGCTGGTAGAAAGTCTTGATGGTTTAGCCCCACTGTGTTACAGCAGAACAAATTCTCCCTATAAATAACCATCCAAGAGGGCCTTGTTTTCGAGACATTATTGTGTAGAATGCAACTGCTGTGCTGCTGAATGGACTTGCTACATCAACGTAAAAATTTTATTTACATTTATGGTAATGGAATAATGTTACAAGGAAAAAAAACCCAGGAACAGAACTGTTAATAGTCACTTGGGCCTGATTGCCACCCAAAATTTGAAAAATTCATACTCCAGAGATGTAGTCAGCTCAACATAAAAGAACCAGTATGGCAGAATTCTTCCATAAACCTAGCTACCATTTCTTAAGAGGGTGCATTAATTTCAGCAATGTAAAAACCCCTTTTATCACTGCAGAACACATTCCATAGCTGTGCACTGTTGTGTAGACAAATCATTAGTCAGTTTTCAACTTAAAATCTCATCTGTTACATTTAATATTTGCACTGGTATTAAACGAATTGGGCATACAGCATGTAGTTATATTCTTAATCTAATATTCAATTATGTTTTCTTTCACTTTAGTAAACAAATCATTTATTTCAGCTAAGCCTTTCCTATCATGGAGGTTTCAACAACAGCTTCTACTTGTTCCAGCTGTTTGCTTTGGGAAACTCATCAGAAAAATATGAACATCCACAAAATAGGACACTTGGCCTGCTGCCAGTTGCTAAAGTGAACTAATAGATTCCATTATTCCAAGGGAAAAAATATTACAAATGTATAGTTCAAATAGATTCATCACAACAGACACCACTTTTCTTTCCTGAATAAACAGTATGTTTAACAGCTATTGCTAAAAGGTCTGGACATAATCCCATTTCCAGAAAGCAGGCAGGCGAAAGGAGAAAAGAGCTAAGAGAACATTCCAGAAGCTCAGGAGAATAACCTGAGATTACCACCCTCCTGAAAACTACTTCCTAAATTAGGATCTGTGAGGTGCTAACTGCTCTTAACTCCCATTGATTTCCATGGAATTGAGGGCACAGCAGTTCCAAAGATCACATTTCTAGGTAGAGCCCTGCATGGATACAAAATTTTAATCTGCATCCATATCCATCATCTGCAAAAATGAGCTGTGGATATCCATACCCACATCCGTGGATGGGGATGCCCGTGATTATAAAACAGATATCCATGGATTTGCAAGGCTCTATTTATAGGTCTTGTCTACACATGCACGCGTACACACATTGTATTGCTTTAATTATACCAGTATAGCTCAAATGGTGCAAGCCCTCTATTTGGATGCAGTACAGTAATCAAAAGGTTCTTATACAGGAAAGGGAACAAGCTATTCCAGTATAAGGCACCTGTATACGAGGCCAGGTCTACACTAGAGAAGTCAGCTCAGCTTGAGGTACGCCATTCCAGTTACACAGAACACGTACCTGCAGTCATTTTACCTTAAGCTGAGCTTGGTGGCAATCCCACTGTGGGAGGCCAATGGGAGCAAACTCTTCCACTGGCTTCCTGTACTCCTGGCAAGAGCAGGAGTACTGGATATCAGCAGGGGCACCCTTTGAGTTTAAGTTAAGACTCACTAAGGGTACGTCTAGACTACATGCCTCTGTCGCCAGAGGCATGTAGATTAGGCTACCAGGCATAGGAAAATGAAGCGGCGATTTAAATAATCGTCGCTTCATTTAAATTTACGTGGCTGCCGCGCTGAGCCGACAAACAGCTGATCAGCTGTTTGTCGGCTCAGCGTGGCAGCCACATAAATTTAAATGAAGCGGTGATTATTTAAATCGCTGCTTTATTTTCCTATGCCTGGTAGCCTAATCTACATGCCTCTGGCGACAGAGGCATGTAGTCTAGACGTACCCTAAATCTAACTCCAGAAGATTGATCACTGCAGCGGTGATCTTCTGCAGAATGAAGACATGCCCTCAACTGGTTCCATCAACTGATCTTCCTATTGGAAGAGTAGTTGCCCCAGGAACTAGTGCCCCATTATTCTGTTTCAAAACCTGACTGCCATTTAGTACCAGTGGGAAAAAGAAGACAATTTTTACTAAGGTGCACAAGACTGGCTTGGGTCCACCCCTGATTCCACTGCAGCCATTGGGCCTGATTCTCAGTTATATGGGGGCTCTTTTAAGCCATTCTGGCAGTGCAAAGTTGTCTACGTGTAAAAAGGAATCAGACTAATTGAGTTCAGTGGAGAATAGGATAGCAAAAGAGGACAGGCCCATTTTTTGATATATCTAGACTAGGAAAGAAAATTAACAATAATTTACACATCTGTGGTGACTATTCTACATAATGCTGCAGCAATACTTTGTCATTGAAAACATCAGGAGAACAGAAGTATCCACTTCAAAGGAACCTTGCATCATGAGAAACTTTCTGAGAGGCATTAGAACAGAGGTGGGCAATAATTTTTGACTATGGGCCACTTCAGACATTTTTGAAGGAGTGGGGTCTCAGGCAGTATGGGCGGGGCCTCAGACGGAACGGGAGGGGCCAACACACTTCTATACTTCCCCACCCACAGACCCTGATTGGACTGTGGCTGGGGGGGGATGTGAAGTCTTTGCCCCCGCTACTCCCAGAGAACTGCCAGCTGTTCTGAACAGCTGGCGGTTCCTTCTAAGTGGTCATGCCTCTGGCAGCTGGAGGAGACTTTGCCTGTGTCATGTAGCAGGACTATTCGCATTTTGTAACAGGTAACAAAGCTAAGAAAAAGGTTACTATTTCAGCACCATTCCTGCATGCTAACATTTTATTACACACTAGATTATTTACTCACTTGTTTTTGATGTTGTTGACATAACTGTCTATCTGTGTTGGGATTCCCTGGAGAATAGAGTTTTTGAAACTTATTCGGTCAACAGTTTTTCCATGCTCGCCATCAATCACAACTACTTGGATACCATCATCAGAGAGGAAATACTTCTTGCCATCAACCTGCAGAAAAGAAAAAAATCTGCTAAAAAAATCCAAGTTCATAATAAATAACTGTAAGAAGTTTCCTGGTTCTGACATGGCAGCACTGAACTGCCCTTTGCTTCAAGGGATAGGATTCCCGATCTGTTAGCTTGGATCAACTTGAATTTTTGCCTGTAATGTTGTAGTACAATTCATTTTCCTAAGAGACATAGCCCTAATGACCTAATTCCTAAAGCTTCAGGGGGTAGCCGAGTTAGTCTGTACAGGTAAATTGAAAAACAACAAATAGTATGATAGCACTTTATAGACTAACAAAACATGTAGATGGTATCATGAGCTTTTGTGGGCACAGCCCACTCCTTCAGATAACGAGTGTTGAATGTCTAGGACCAAAATAAATAGGGGAGATGGGAGGGTGGGTGGAAGAAGGGAAAATTGGGAGAGGAAGGGGACAAGAAAAAGCAGCATGTAAAAAATATATCAAGGGAAAGCCAAGTCTATAAGCACCTAAAGAAAGACATTCAGTGGTAGTTTCCTCAGTAAATTCTGGGTGAAATCTCAGACTCAAAAATATATAGGTTAAAAAAAAGAGAGTCCAACAAATGTGGCTGGGAAGGAACCACTTACCTCAATGTATGCAAAATCATCACGGAGGTGGAAATATCTGGTCCTGAAGGTTTCTACTTTCAGCTCTAGGAAATGGTCATTATTATTCTGTTCAAAAATGGAAAATGGTATTTACTGCTTTTGTACATTCCCCAAATGCAGTTTATTTTAAACCAAGAACTTCCTAGCAGTTTAATCAACAATAAAAGAGTACCTCATAAATTGACACTTGCCAAATTACATTGTTAATGAAATCTGGGCAAAATCTTAACCTCTGAGCTGATCATGTCATCACTTCAATGTTGCAAAATGGAATGTGTGTGTTGTGCAGTTTTATGTCATTAATTGAGGTGTAGTCCCCTTACTAAAAGGGACTTTTTCTGGGAGGATCCTTTGTGCTGCAATCTAGCCCTAGCGACTACAATTCCCATGAGCCTGTGAGGAAAAAGGAAGAAACAGGAGATCATCCAGGCATTTGGGGGGAGAGAGAGGCTCTCCAATTTGGGAGAGAGAAGCCAGGCTGCTGTGGCGGAGCCTCTGTCCAGTCCAGGAACTGTTGTGTTGCAGCTAGAGCCTGGGACTGAGAGCCTGCGGGGCTTGGCTCTAGCAGGCTGCTTCAGGGGCTGCTGATTGTCCCTAGAGGGGAGAGTCTCTGACTGTGCCTGTGGCTGAGAAGGACTATATAAATCTACTCACAGTTTCCTTCTGTGTGTAACTGGGCTCTTTCGGAAAGTGCTGCCTGGGGCTGACCTCAGAGATATAGACTAACTCTGCGTCCAAAGAGAGGCAGAGTGACTAGCCCAGTGAACCAGAGCTGCTGGCATTTGGTGGAGCCTGCTTCAGTGACAGAGGAATTTTGCAGCTGGCTGCTCAGCTTGGACTAACACCCACAGGACCTGCACAATGCTGTCTCCACTCCAGCTGCAGACTTTTAAGCATGGCCAAGCAAGTGTCTGGGACTCTGAATCCAGAGGAGTGCATACTCTGGGGTGGGATAAATGGTGGCAGTGCAAATGCCAGATAGATAAGTTCTTTTTATTTCTGTATACTTTGTTAATTGATTTTATTCACTTTTGATCTGTTAAACCCTGTTTCTTTAAGTTGTTAAGTAAAGGTGTGTCAATTCTAATTTAATCAATTAGATGTATATTATTTATAATTGTGGTCTTGGAGTTAGATCTAGATTATTGCTGGAATAATTTTATTCCTGGAGGCCCCAAGGCACACCATTAAGTGTGCACAGGGCGAGCCAGGTGGAGTCACTGCCATTGTATATTCTTCAGGAGCAAGAGACTACAGCAAGGGGGTGGGAAAGGAATCCCCAACTAAACAGCATCACCACTGGGGTACTCAGGATCTCCTTTTAAGTTAAAACCACCAGGCACATATGCGGAGCCTCTGTCCAGTCCAGGAACTGTTGTGTTGCAGCTAGAGCCTGGGACTGAGAGCCTGCGGGGCTTGGCTCTAGCAGGCTGCTTCAGGGGCTGCTGATTGTCCCTAGAGGGGAGAGTCTCTGACTGTGCCTGTGGCTGAGAAGGACTATATAAATCTACTCACAGTTTCCTTCTGTGTGTAACTGGGCTCTTTCGGAAAGTGCTGCCTGGGGCTGACCTCAGAGATATAGACTAACTCTGCGTCCAAAGAGAGGCAGAGTGACTAGCCCAGTGAACCAGAGCTGCTGGCATTTGGTGGAGCCTGCTTCAGTGACAGAGGAATTTTGCAGCTGGCTGCTCAGCTTGGACTAACACCCACAGGACCTGCACAATTCTGTCTCCACTCCAGCTGCAGACTTTCAAGCATGGCCAAGCAAGTGTCTGGGACTCTGAATCCAGAGGAGTGCATACTCTGGGGTAGGATAAATGGTGGCAATGCAAATGCCAGATAGATACGTTTCCTTTATTTCTGTGTACTTTTTAAATTTATTTTATTCACTTTAATCTGTTAAACCCTGTTTCTTTAAGTTGTTAAGTAAAGGTGTGTCAATTCTAATTTAATCAATTAGATGTATATTATTTATAATTGTGGTCTTGGAGTTAGATCTAGATTATTGCTGGAATAATTTTATTCCTGGAGGCCCCAAGGCACACCATTAAGTGTGCACAGGGCGAGCCAGGTGGAGTCACTGCCATTGTATATTCTTCAGGAGCAAGAGACTACAGCAAGGGGGTGGGAAAGGAATCCCCAACTAAACAGCATCACCACTGGGGTACTCAGGATCTCCTTTTAAGTTAAAACCACCAGGCACATATGTATGTGACACCTGCTCCCGAGTAACCCAGGGAGGAAAAAGGGGGTTACAGAGGCTTTGATCCTACATGCCTGTTCCAAGCAAGAAGGGTAAGAAAGGGCCTGGCTGGGAACAGAACAGGCATCTGTCTCTTAGCAGAATTGTGGATGTGCAAATTTCTAGCCACTGCCTGAGCACGGTGAGCCTGAGTCATTTGCCTTGGGCTCTGAAACTTAGTGCCAAAAGTTTTTCTTTAGAGCCTAGATATGCTCTTAGCTATGCAATCCCCCCTTTGACATTGCATCTGCTATTAGGCAGTCCTGGCTGGCAGCCATGCAGCAGAATTCTCATCCAAGCAGGATCAAGTTCCTCTGAGCAACCTGTTGCCCTGCTCATCACTGTGTGTGCGTTGCGTTTCCGTGCACAGGATTCCACACTTGAGCATTGGGAGATGCATTTCTTACTGTGAAATGCAGTTTTCAATACCCATTGCCCCATGAGTATTGAGCACCTTGGCCTGGGAAGCAGGCCTACAGTATGGAAAAGTAACTGATAGGGATCACTTGCTGCAGCTTCAGGTGTCTTTCTTTCACGAATCTGCATTTTCTGTGTTTGTTAGTGTCTGGTTTAGGTTGCTTTATGCTTCTGGGCAATTTCAGAAAGTTATGCCTAGACAGAGTGGTTTTTAGAGCTGGTCTCCAAGGTAACATGGAATGATGCATGCTAAAGCTTATACATTTACAAGGAAACAGAACAATGGTAATAGAAATGTAATAGCAAACAAGGTACTTTACCAGTATTGCATTAGAGAGCTTCTTAGGCATTGGCACATCAACTACTGGCGTTTCCGTGTATTTTGGATAGGCCTTAGCTTCACAGTCACTGATTCCAGCATTCTTGGGGATCACAGCTTTGATCCTTATTCTCTCACAGCCTTGGACTGAGCAGAAGGCAAACTTCTCCTTCTCATTTTGGGCTTTGAATTTCAAGAACAGCAGCCTTCAGATTGGGGAAGACAATGCACAAATTATGGAGTGTTTCACACCCAAACGAATACATCTCAGTGCTTTGCGGTAACCAATGTATAATTTAACCATCCCAGTCTCATGCTAATAGAACATTTATCCCACACTGGTGTATTTATCTCTTTCTAAAGAGCCATAAATTTTACATAAATCAGTGTGGTTATATGTTTATTCAGAGGGGGAGGATGCTCTCTGAATTGGGGGCTGGAGGGACAGGAAAGAAAGCAAAAGGGAGTTACTGAGAATGGAGGCAAGGTATGTGTGTGGCGGGGGAGGGGGGAGAAATGGGCAGCCCATCCAGACTGGGAACAGACAGCCTGGTAGTTCTGACGGTCATTCCTACAGCAGTTTCTCCACGGCGGGTGCCTTCTACTCCCCTATCCCTCACCAGGTGGTTGGCACCATGTACACTATTCTCCCACATGCCCCCTGTCCAGGTACCAGTCACCCGTGCCATCCTCCACCCCACCCTGGCAGCTAGTCCACGTGCTCCTGTCCCTCTATCAGGCCAGGAGTCCCCACTGGGACTCATGGTGACTGGAAGGTGGGACCAGACTGGCTCAGGAATGTCTTCCTGCTCCTCAGTGGCCCAGCCC